AACTCAGTTTGCCAGCTTGTAATCAGATTGATCACAATTATGCTATGTTAGAGAAGTCCTTCATTGTCAATAGTTCTGCCATACAAGTCAAATAAATAAATAGCTCCATGTATCCATTCTGGGCAGATAATTTTAGGAGTTTCTCTCATTTTGATAGGATAGAAAGATAGGAATATTTTTTTAAAAAATTGTTATGATTACTGTTCTTTAGATTAAAATACATAAAATATATTTAAAAAATAAACTTTTCTCTTTCTATTGCTGGCACAGAAATCTCTGCACCCACACAGTCTTCAGGATTATAACTCTTTACTACATTTCTCCCCCACGCCATCAAACCTCTGGTAGCCTGTAACCATCATTTCATTTTAATGGCCTTTGTGTAGGAGTCCTTCACAACCAATGAAGTATTGGAATAAGTGCGAAGATTTATATGATTTAAAAACAAGACTTGACAATTTTTTGAGAATTAAATCTATCAATGCATATTGGTGGGTATTGGTCCTGAGAGTTAAATTTAATCCCCATGGCTAAGCCACGATATAATCTGATTATTGTATACTTAGGAACCACCAGGAGTGGCCATTTACTTGTGAGCACTTGGAGACACCTGTATGGTTGTTGAAAATTAAATATTGAACTTGATTACTATGAAGACAAGGCCATTTTGAAGAGCAGTCAGTGTATAGTAGCAGGATTTATATAAATATTTTCACCATTATTGTGTATTCTTTAAGTAATTTATTCATTATTGTTTATATAAATGAATTTATTCTTATTGTGGTTGGGAGAATTAACTGGAATTAAAATGAAAACATGATGAGTGGGGATATTTAGCTGTCTTGTTATCTGAAGAGAAGATAACATGTTCAGCTTCTTGATCAAAATATTAGCTAGAGCATTGTAATAAAGCTCCTGTTGGGTTATCTCTGCTTCCCTTGTTCATGACATATTTTGCAGATTACTGTTTCTTTTTCCTGTTTGCCTGATTTCTTTTTCTTGATTTTGTTCATAATACTGTGCTACCGATGCTTCCTTGACCTTGTTCAGTTTACTCTGTAATAACTGCCACTGCTTTTGTATTGTACAAACTCTGATTGAACTAGGTCATACTATTGAATCTGTTAAGAAAAGTCAGCCTTTTATACTTTGGATCATACTTTACAGACATTTTTAAAGGAAGATGATACCTAGTTCAGATTAGCAGGTGATAACCTTTTTCTCTATATATTTTAAATTAACCTTTGAACAATCAGATTATTGCAGCAGCATTGGGACCTTTCTTCATGCTGTGCATCACAGCAAGATGGATGAGTGAAATAATAATGTTATCCTTAGTTTTTACACTACTATTAGGAATTCACAACAGGGAGCTTCTAAACCAAGCACTGGTAATTAGATAATTTTATCAGCAAAGGAAGCTTCTCGGGCAATTCACAATCATCCCAGTAGCTTTATGAAAACTGTGGAAGCTAGTCTAAGCTTTTGGGAATTCTCACCAGTACCTTATCTATTGGTAAGGGGGGGGGGGACAGTTACAAGTATTTGCTTTCTTTTGAAAGAAAAGGAAGATCAAAGGATACAGAATAATATCGACCACAACCTTATTTAGATTACCATAGGGAAATGTTTCTCATCCTTCCTTCCTTCAGTGCTGTATTCCCCCTTCTATCAAAAGGATTTCCAACCATACATTTTTATGTTGCATTGCCCTGCCAAGAAAAGTTAGAGACAAACAGAAGGTCCCTTCAACAATAACTAGGAACAAATTCCCATGAAAGGCTACCAGATGACTATACAGATTGTGCAAAACTGGTTCTCACCTTCCAAATAATTTCACAAGTGCATGCACTCAAATTCTGATTGCTTAATAATGCACTGATATCTATAACAGTCTGGATGAAAATTCCAGTTGTATCTTTTTAAGATTTCAAAGCACAGGTCAATAGGTAATATACTACTTTCTTAAAGATACTGTATATTGCAAAATCAGGAATAGAAATTTCACTCTTCCATTTTGTACTGATTCCAATTTTGTCTTGTGGATGAATTCCTGATGTGCCTTTATTGGACCAATAATTAAGCTCTTTCTTATTGTGGAGTTTCACATCCCATTTTCAGTGTATTTAACATCCCCATAAAATAATTAGGAGAGGTTGTCCATGTCAACTCTACAAGTGAGCATGGCTGTAGCCATTTTCCCTATTCATTTTCAGTTGACACATAGAATGGAGGGAGGAGGGTTTGCCAGGTGCTTTGCTAGTCTAAATAAACTTTTATCGCATGGGAACCAAGGTCATCGGCTGCTCCCGAGATTGCAAGCTGAGCATTGCATAAAAAGCCCGCCAAGAAGACGTATTGGGAAACATAGTTGCTTGCATAGCCTTAGGGGTGGGATTTTTTAACTTTGTATTGGGGAATTTTATATGTGTCTCCAGACTTGGTTTCACTTTTGACGTGCTGATACTTTGTAATTAATAAACATGTTCTTTGAGGAATTTGCAAGCTTCGGAGTTCTGCTTTATTCATCTCTGTCTGTCGGAACCATGACAGTCTAATGATTTGAAATACAATATCAATACTTAATCTATTCAGTTCTATTTGTCAGAATATAGGATGACAGTGAAGGTCCTGAACTGGATAGTGATGGACTGGATGTCAGAAACAAGCTGGATGTCAGGCAAAGCAGAATTAAAGTCTAAATGCAAGGATAACTCAAAATGAGTAAAGGCAGTATTCACAATGGATTAAATTTTCTTCCATAAATTTCCTTATGGAAGAAAATTAATCTTCTCATGTCATAAAACAAAAAGGTAGCACAAGCCAAAATGGCCACAAAGAACAGTGACTGAACAGGGAAGACATGCCCACAGCAAACTTAAAATGCCTGTATTGTATAAGCTGGACAGATCCTGCTCTTGACAAACAAGGTTGTTTAAATAGTGACAGAAAATACATTTTAATGACAGATCAATTAAGAATGACTTCAGGGGTGTTTCCATATCAGTTTGGGAATAAAATCAAGACATGTTCCTTAAAAATGATAGTGAGTTGTATTCATGCTATGGTTAAGAGAAATGTAAAAATAAGCCTTGAGTAACTTTGTTAATAGGTCACATTAATAAGTATGAGATTCTTCCTCATTGTATATAGCATTAGCATTTAGACTTACTGTATATACCGATTCAAAGTGCTTTACATCCCTCTCTAAGCAGTTTAGAGAGTCAGCATATTGCCCCCAACAATCTGGGTCCTCATTTTACCGACCTCAGAAAGATTAAAGGCTGAGTCAACCTTGAGCTGGATTGAACTACTGGAAGTCAGCAGAATTAGCCTGCAATACTGCATTCTAACCACTGCACCACCATGATTTTTGTGTTAGAATTTTTCTCCCACTTTTTACTGATTAACTGTATTAAGGAAAAAATAACTGAATTATATCACATTTGTCAAGCTCAGTAAGCAACTGTCACACTAAAATTGTTACTACTAATAAAGGTTATCTCTTTATACTTTTCAATTTTGTTAAAAAGAAGCTTTGGCACATAGTATGTGCTACTGCAAGTTCTCTGCTCTCTTGTTTTAAAACAGAAATACCTTTATTTTCAAACCTAGCCAAAGCTCTATATAGAATTCTAATACTGTATGTCCTGCAACATTTTCTAGATGTAAATTCAGGACAGTGAATATGAGGGTGGCTGAAGACATTGGGATAATATCCATATTTCATAAATAATAGCCTGCAGATACTGACTATTTTTGAAGCATCTTAAATGATTCAAAAATAGGCAATATCTGAGGCTATTACTTGCAAAATATGGATATTAGCAGTGAAATATTGATGAGAGAAATAGAGAAGCACAGTTCAGGCTTGGCTTCTAACAAGTTAATTTTACACAAACCTTGATTTTAAATTCAGTAACACCCTCAAAAGACAGTCAATAGGAAAAGGTAGGGTGAAAGTCATATGGCAGAATTTACTACAGTAGTTGAATGAAGAAGACAACTCACTATTGGAAAGCAGCTGGATTTATTTCTGAGTAAATACGCATAGATTTACGTAATCCAAAAATATAAAATTTGGGAAGAGCCAGAAGCAAGCATTTTTTTTTTAATCAAAGTACAACATTTACATGAAAAGGATTTTTTGGGGGCAGATTGTCAAGAACCCAAGCTGGCTGTTATGAACTTCAAAAAGAGCCACTTTGGACTTTTCCTCTGAATAATGTTAAACAGATGTTAGCCACTATAGCCCTACCCTGAGATACAAGGCTGGCATGCACCATCCTGACATTTGGAAATATTTGATTACCTTTTCTCAATGTAAAGAAACTAACATGGGGGGGGGGGAATAGAGTTCTGTTTTCATGTTGAAAAAGGCTGTTATCAGGAAGACACTGAAGTTAGACTTGAAGATAGAATTTCTCTCACTCTGAAAAATGCTTCCCAGCTATGCCTTTTTCTCACCATATGCAATGTTCCCATGAGGTTTGATAGATCTGCATTATCAAGTTAGGAAGCAGCAGGACCACACAGAAGTAAAAAAAAAAAAAAAACCGACTGAAGTGTCACATAGAGCTTGTGCAGTTAACAAATATAATGAATTATCCAAAAACATTCAGGCTTGAAGTACTGAATTACTTAGAAGTATTAGTTCATTATTTTAGGTACTAATGAAGAGAATTCAGTTATAAATTTCCTGCTGAAATTACAATATCGGGAGAATATTTTTATTCTCTGATCCAGCTTGGAGCTTCTGGCATATAACCTGTTGATAGTTTCTAGATAAAACTAAGTCTAATCCGCATAGGAGTGGGGACCTTCTTGATTTCCACTAATAAGACCAGGGGTCAGGAATCATGGGACCAGTAATCTTAATGACATTTTTGCAGCACATAGATTCTTCATTCATAGTGGGATCAGTGGACATTGAGGAGAAATGCTTTAGGAGGACTCAGCCAACATTAACATGTTCATCAGTTTGGAATGATTTTTCCCAGGTTTGTAAAGTTCTGCTTTGGAAGAAGAATATGGCCACTGTTGCAAAAACAGAAGTGAGAGGAAGAAGAAATTTGAACTCTTGAGAAGTTTGTAAAGAAAATGTACAAGCTTTTTTTTTTCTTGGTACTCCCTGTATGCAGGGATGCTTCAAACTAGGCCTAACATTTTTAAAATTTAAAATGTGATAATTAAAGTCTGTATCATTTATGTGATAATGTGATAATTAAAGTCTGTATCATTTATTTCTCTCACTGTGCTGAAAAAAATACAGCGCCATCCCTTTTTTCTTGCTTGTTGGAATATACAAATAAAAATGTTTCTAAGGTAGGTTACAGGCTATTGACCTATCTTTCAATCTCATGTCAGCCTTTGATTAAATTCCTAAAATGCAAAAAGAAATATCATATTGTATGGGCTCATTTCATTGGCTAAACCAGTAGTTTATTTTAGAACAGCATGCTTTGTCTTCTTTGGCTGATACCATGAAATTAAGATCTAAATTCTTTTCTAGCATTTATGATGATAGATTGTCAAGTTAACATAATCATACTCTGTAGGACATAAGCAAAGACTGACAGCTAGTCAAGAAAATAAGCTTTTCTCTGCAGATTATTTATTCTTAAACTTTAAAAACCATAGGATTGGGGATATTAAACATTGATTCATAATAAATAAAAACTTTGTGTTCTCCAGAGGCTTGCTAAACAATTCATTCCAAGGAACTCCATACAATACTTTGCTCTGCTCCCAGAAAATTTGAAAGGTATAAAGAGTGGAATAGTCAGGCAAGCAGTGCCTTCCGATACACTGGGAGTTTCTTCTGTTTGATGGCACCCTGTGTCTCTCATTCAAGGCCTAGGAAAAACAAACAAACAAACAAACCAGAAAGACAATCTATTTGTTCTCTAGGTAGATAGCATTTTCTTTTGTTAACTCTCATTTCATCCTGAGAGATCAGCATTTATAATTCATCTTTCTTTAAAAAAAAGGGGGGGGGTATTCTGGAACATATAGCTCCATGGACTGTATAACTCTATGTATCTCTAACTAGAGAGCAGGTATCAGCATGTTAGAATATCTGGCAGTTATTGGGTTAAATGCTAGGTATGTTGATGGGTCAGTGGGAGGAGTCTCAAAAGGTCATTGGGAGACTTCCTGGACACAAGCCAGGGTGAAATCTCTTTGTCTGAAAGAAGCATGGGCCATCGAATGTCACACAATGAGCTTGAGTCGTTGTAAAGATGGTATGGAAGAGAGCATCATACTTTTACTATTCTGACTCTGATATAAAACGCCTTCTTTAAATCAAATCAGATAGATAACTCAAAAGAAACGATCTCATAACAAACAAAAATATATTTTAACAGAAAGATTACTTGCATTCACGCTGTGGTTGTTGCTCCTGAAAAATACATCCTTTGTCCATTTCTCTAGACCATTTCTTTAGGTAAAAGTATGATGCTCTCTTCCATACCATCTTTATTACGACTCAAGCTCATTGTGTGACATTCAATGGCCCATGCTTCTTTCAGACAAAGAGATTCCACCCTGGCTTGTGTCCAGGAAGTCTCCCAATGACCTTTTGAGACTCCTCCCACTGACCCATCAACATACCTAGCATTTAACCCAATAACTGCCAGATATGCTAACATGCTGATATCTGCTCTCTAGTTAGGGTTACATAGAGCTATACAGTCCATGGAGCTATACGTTCCAGAATAGGGGGAGTGGATTCCAAAAAGGTAGGAAACAAGTAGGAATGAGAGTTTTGGATCTAGAGTCATAGAGCCAAATTGAAGTGGTCCCTGTGAGGTCTGAATTCAAGTCATCATCTGGCCATTATAAGTGAGCTGGAAATAATAGTACTATAATTTGTCCATGGCAGTAATGGAAGAATCATGATCATAATTGCACAACGTACCAAGGAGAAATAAAATTTATTTGACTCGTTCACTCTTCTTCTTTCCTTCCTTTCATCCTTTTGCAAGAAAATGTCTGGATTGAAAGCTGATCCCTTAGAGAAAGTACAAAAATACCAAAGAAAGAAGCTGGAGATGGGGGAGGGGAAAGATTATTCTTTTTTTGAAGCCCAGTCCTGTCAAAACTAATTCTTAGCCCAAATGATGATATATTCTGAAAGAAAGTGTCACCTGAAGGAAGTTCACCTCTATTAAGAGCTGTTGTTTGAAGAGGAGAAGCAGCAATACCCTGGTCTCTTGGGACAGTCTTTGTTGTTCATTTAATTCATCTTTCCTATAGCTTCTGTTTCAAGGCTGGCCTGTTTCAACAGCAGCAGTGGGAAAAAGAAATGACAGAATGTTAGGTCTGGCTGGGCTCCTAGTGTTTTTATAATTATTCTGCTCTCATGCATGCATCTAGAGGCAAGAGTCCAAGGATTGTTTTGTGAGGTAAACTATCCAACCACCAGCTGTTAGTTGGCCAGTCTTCATCTTGTTTCACTGGCTTTTTCAAGGGGGTAGCTTGAAGATATAGTACCAGACATCAACAAATGAGAAAGGCAACCATGTAGCTTTTTTCACATTGTTCTGTGAGCACAGTTCCTAGGTTGCCAGAGCCAACAGTCAGCCCTTTAATACAGCAAGGGAAGAACCTATGTTCCACAGTATATCTGAAAAAAAAGGCCTCACATGCTTCAAAGTAAGGTTGGTGGTCCAAAGATTGCTACTTCAGACTGAAGCTGTGACCTGCAGAAGGCAGTAAGGAGAAATATAAGGAAGACCATTAGTTGGCAGAGATGCATTTTTTGAATAGAAGATTAATAGAAGAAATGTTGTTGACAATCTGATTTTGGAAATGCCACCTCAAAGTTTTGTTAAGCTCTTTAGAAAAATGATCTCATACCAACCTGTTTCCGGAGAGTGTCTCCTCTTGCTATCCAATGCAAACCGCCCATTCATTTGTTTTCTTTTTGTACTGTAGGTGCCATTTCATCACTGCCCAGAGAAGGACAAAGTTAGTAGAACTTGCTTTCTTTTCATATACTTGAAAAGTGTATGCCTATTTTGAGGTTCATATTATTCCTGCCTAATTGATAATTGCACTAATGGCTTTAAAATAAAATAAAAAAGCAAATAGCTATTTGCCAGGCTACTTGGAACTATTTGCTGCAGAGGTGCAGCATAGGGCTCTGAGCTGATTGGGCTTCAAGAGTCAAAATGATTTTCCTCCAGATTGAAAGGTTCAAGTAGATAGGAAAGGTCTGGTGATAATTGAAAGACTTGTAAGCCTTTGGCAGCAGAAAATGTAATAGGCCATAATGCTGTAATATGCAGTTAAGCAGCATTGCCTTTGCATCATTTTCAGTGATAATGTAAGGCAGATGTTTTTATAATATGGAGATAAATTAGTAAATTAGGTAAATCAGTGTTCCTAAAAAATTAATTATGATCACATTAGAGACTTGGTGTAGCATAATGGTTGCATCAGTGTTACATTATGATGGGAGAGCCAGATATAAATCCATCTTTACCTTCAAAGATCAGAGTATAACTGCACTAGTCATTCTCACTCAGCCCAATCTATCCCATTGAGTTGTTGTGGAAAAAGTAGGGAGGAATATGCTACCGTGAGTTCCTGGAGGAAACAAGGCAGTCAGTAAATAAGGGCTATCAGCTTTATGTGCCCCTATTTTGAAAATGTGGGAAAAATAAAACAATGTGGAAGTGCCCACATACTTTCTTGATAGAGATTTGTCAGTCAACTTCCTGCTTTAAACATATTTTTGGTTTCCTAATGTTGCCTTCATTTCTGTCTGTTATAACTCATTGAAGTTGAAATAAATAAACTTCTACAACTAAAGATATTGGGAAAGCTGCCTCAAAGTTATACTTGTTGAGGCAGGCATATAATTTTCAACCAAATAGAGATTTTTTGTCAGATAATCAGGTTTTGCAAAATGCTTACTTAAAGGGGCCACTTGTTATACAGTGCATGTATTATGTATTATTTTAGATAGCAAATTGAATTTTTTCATCCAGTTTCATTAGATACCATTTAAATGCATAGGACTTGAAAAGGACTTATCCGTGACGTTTGTTGCTGTTATTATTGTCATTATCTCCGTTGAAGGATAGAATATAAATCAAGCAAATAAATATATATTGTCATTCTTACATGTAGGCTCATTGCCTTCGTTCTTTTTAATGTAATTCACAAAATAGAAAAAAAAATACTAATGTTTTGATTAGCTTTATTGAGATCTCTTAAACCTGAATAAAAGCTTTGCAGAAGAAGACTGGCTACAATGAAGACACTGGTTTATATTCTTTCTTTAGTCTCAGGCTGTTATAAGATAAATATCAGTGCAATCAAGCAAAGAGAAAGAGAAAAAAAACAACTACTAAAATTGCATAAAATGGTAGAATAAACTAGATGGCAAATTCATAAATATTTAAAACATAATAGAGCAGGTGACAAGCAAGGTTGCCTGAGGAATGGGTATTATCCTCATGCAACCATATCAGTCCCCACTGTAAATGGGAAGGTATGCAAGTAAGATATTGGCTGCTAGGAGGATAGATGTCATGGCGCCTTTCCTTATTTTTCAGTTGTAGTAGGGGAGATTATGGCTCCCACTGTTGGTATCTCTGTTTTTTAAGTCAGAAATTATGGTTACATCCAGTGGTGGGATTCAGCCGGTTCGCACCACTCTGGCAGAACCGGTAGCTAACTTTTTGTTGCCCAGGCCCAGAACGGACTTCTTGAAGTGGCATACACACAGAGAACCGGATGTTCACATATTTGAATCCTACCACTGGTTACATCCATGGTCTGTTGCCTTACCTGTTTACATATGGTAAAGATATGTTGCTATCATACAGAAATAAGTCAACATGTGTCTGTGGAGATTCTCAGTCATCCAGGTCATGGTTGTCCCAAAGAAGCTTTTTTGAAGAGGCAACTGGAAAACTGCTTTTCCTCACCATCCAAACGGAGCTGAAGAAGCTTCTTGGATGAGAAGTGAAATGTCTTCAAAGAAAAACAAGAAAGTCCAAGTGCCTCTAGAAAAAGCACCTTTGAGATAGGTCAAGGAGTGAGTATCACTGAACCAACAATAGTTTCTGCATATTGTGTAAGACAAGAATACTTTTTTTATTACATTCTAAAACTTTTAGCTTAAAATGTGCACTTTTGCTTTGAAACGTCAAATATTGCTGACATAAATCACATTTTGAATTTAAATGAGGCAGTCTTCCTTCAGGTATGTGTAGAAAACTCCATTCTTATTCCATTTAGTGCTGTGACTCAAAACTTTCTCTGTTGAATAATGAAAACTATTAATATAATATTGATGTATTTGAAGTAAATAGGGTGAATAAAGTAGTAAACTTTTAATAGTTGCTAGAATAGTGAATTTTACCATTCTTTCTCCTTACATTTAACCCTGCTAATTCATTCTAGCAAAAAGCATAATAGTTTCACCATATGTACCATATTGTTTGGTCTGGGGTATTTGATTTGTAATGCTTCATCCTTGTGGTGGTGTGATTCTTAAAAAACAGCACTCCATAGAATAAAGCAATTTCTAAAGCAAAATAAAACACAGTAAACATGTATGCACAAGATGGTCTATTTATTTTATTTCACTCCTATCATGTTTATAAAATTAAGCTTTTAATAGCTCCTTGCTTTCTAACATAAGAGGCCTTACTTGTTTCAGGATTTATGTTGCCTGCTTCTTTACAAGTAGTCTTTGATTTAACAACTACAATTGAGCCCAAAATTTATGTTGCTAAGCGAGACATTTGTTAATAGAATAGAATTCTTTATTGGCCAAGTATGATTGGACACAAGGAATTTGTCTCTGGTGCGTAAGCTCTCAGTGTATATACAAGCAATAAGTGATAAATCATGAACATAGTGATTGTAAAAATACATTCATAATAAATCATAAGATATAACACTTAGTGATAGTTATAGGATGCTAAAATAAGCAATCAACATAAATCATACTAGGATATTAAATAAAACAATATAAATCACAAGATACAAGCAACAAAGTTATAGTCATAAGTAGATAAGGAGATAGGTAATAGGAAAGATGAGAAGAATAATAGTAATACAGCCTTACTAGATAGTTTGACAGTGTGGTGGGAATTAGTTATTTAGCAGAGTGATGGCATAGGGGGAAAAAACTGTCCTTGTGTCTAGTTCTTTTGGTGTGCAATGCCCTATAGTGTCATTTTGAGAGTAGAACTTGAAACAGTTTATGTCCAGGATATGAGGGGTCTATAGATTTTAATGTATTAATGTATTAATTCATGTAGATATTAATGTAGATGTTAAGTGAGTTTTGTCCCATTTTACGACCTTTCTTGCCACAGTTGTTAACTGAATCATTGCAATTGTTAAGTTAGTAACATGGCTGTTAAGTGAATCTTGCTTCCCCATTGACTTCGCTTGTCAGATTACATGACTCCAGGACACTGCAACTGTCATAAATACATGGCAGTTGCCAACCATCCAAATTTTGATCACATGACTATGGGGATACCGCAGTGGTCATAAGAGTGAAAAACAATCATAAGTCACTTTTTTCAGTGCCGTGGTAATTTTGAATGGTTGCTAACCAAACTGTTGTAATCAAGAACTACTTGTATGGTACATTATCAAAGGAGAACTCCTGGGCACCATTCTGAATATTACTTTCATAGGAGCCATACTATGTTAGCCATGAGAAAGTATCATTGCCCCTGTGTCATATGTTTAATCCAATTTACATTAGCCAGATCTCACTGAAATAATTTATAAAATGATTTATCAAAGTAATTTTGTGCAGCTTCAATGTCAGTAAAGAACGAAATCTGTTACAGTATTATTCATCATTTTCAGGTAGAAAGTTCAATGAAAAATAATGTATATGTGGAGAAATTTCACAAAAATTAGTATATATGTTTTGGTTACATTAAAAAACATCCTAAAAGTTAGGGTTTTCCACAGTGCATTTCAGTCTAGTAAGCATAATGAGATAGTATCCCATGGGGGAGTGGGGAGTCTTGTTACCATTCTTGAAAAAACAATACAGGTAATCCTCAATTTATTACCACAATGAGGCATAGAATTTTGGTCATAAGCCATTGTGGTCATAAGTCAAGTCACCACATGACCGGATGCAATTTAATGACTGTTTTTACAATGATTGTTACACAAGTCACCTTGGTCATTAAGTGAATTGTTATAAGTCTAAATCCAGCTTATCCAAATTGTGGTCTTTGCAATCGCAAATTCAAACCAGTTGCCAAGTGCCCAAAATGCAGTCAAGTGACCATGGGGCTGGTGCACAGTTGTAACTTTGAGGACAGGTTGTAAGTAACTTTTTTTGAGTCCTTCATAATGTTAAACAGTTGTTAAGCAACTGGTCATAAATTGAAGATTATGTGTACAGTATATAATACTAAATGTTTATTGGCATTATCCTGTTCTCATGAGGTATGAATCTGAAATGTCACTAAACAGAACATTAAAGTTGTATTTTCAAATAGTCCAAATAAGCTTTTTGTTTTATAGCAAATATAAGCTAACATGCAGTAGAAATGCAAACAAAATTCCTTTAACTTTAAAGCAGAAAAAGGTGGTTGCAGATAAAGGGTGAGATTACAAAATGATAATAGATTGCAAGGCAAGATAAATTAAAAAGAAGTTACAGTTAGCTTTGTTGCTAAGCTTAACTCTGTAACTTAAAATTGCTGGTATCAGGTCATTACATTTTAATAATGGATGATCTGGCAGCTGGTATAAACAGAGCATCCTGGGATCCATTTATTCCAAGACCTGACTACTTGACAAAAGACTTCAGGATTAAGTCACTGAAATGATTGTTTTCAACTATTAGCATGAAAAAGGTAATCTGTACTAGAGAAGATAGATTATTAGAGGGTCTGAGGTAAATGAAGACTAAAGTATTTGGGCAAGAACATTGTGAATTTTGTTTCTTACAAGGAACATAAATAAATCAAACTTCCTGCTTCCCGCATAACACCTAACATAAACAGAGATATTCAGGTTTGTTCAACCATGCATACTGGTGGAAGCAGCCAAGCAAAAAGCATCACACTGTTTATTCATGATGATAACACTTTCCTGTAATTTTACATCTTCAGGAAAAGTGAATTTGAAAGCTAAGTATATATAGCATGTATCTGTGCTTGGAAATTAGCTCCATAGTTAAACTTTAAAATGATGGAAATTAAATGAAATGCATATTGTATCAAGACTATGATGTATCTTTTTTTGAAAAAAATAATGCTGTAATTTCAGGGAAGTTGGGTTTTTGTTTTTACTGTTCATGAAGATGTTCTTTTCCATAGCAACATAGCAGCTCTTTTATTTACATATCAAGAATTCCTGATTTGAAAGGTTTCTTGTTGGTGGTTGCATGACGTCTGTTGGAATGCATCCTTTTAGCATAGGGAAAAACTCTGGCTTCGTCCAAAAAAAAAAGGAAATTAAGACTGCTACCTGCATTCTCTGGATGTGAGCCCATTTTCTTCAGTGAGGAAATTACTGCTGAATAGGTATACTTTACTGAAAGGGTACAAGAATCAGATTATTTACAAAGGCACAAGCACAATTATAATGTATGTTTATTAGGCTGTGGGTGTTTCTGATTTAGTTCCAAAGAGATGCTTCAGAGCAGCAGGTGCATAAACAGAGCACCTGCCTACAGCTCCTTAAAGCAGCAGTGCCACACAACTTTGTGATCCCAGTAGATTAGAAAGCACAGCTGCAGTCAGGTATTAAGTTCATGCCCCCAGCACATTTTTGGGAATCAAAATCTAAGTGCTGGATAGCCCTAATGTCTGATTCATCAATTCCTCTATCTGTTAAAGTGTGCAAAACAAATGTAACAGAACATAATGGCTTAGCATGATACTTTTACACCCTGAATGTAGTAGTTTATTGTGACCCACCAGCTTCTTAAGACAGGCGACGTCAAATCACATTAATTAGATAAACTGTAGCCCATTCTGAAGTATCACAGTGTTGGATTTTCACTATACTTATTGCAAAATAAAACATGAAACTGAAAACTGGTAGGTCTGGTTATAAACTTTTTACTGAAATGTTTAAGTAGTTCTCATTGTGAATTAAATTTGCATGAAGAAGGGTGTTTCTATTAACAGTTAATGAAAGGCAGACTCTGCTGCCATCTAGTGGTTGTCTACATTTCTGTATTCCAATAGACCCCTGCCTGTAATATGATGGGATGAAGAATGGGATGAGAACCAACCTAGAATGAAGGAGAAATTTCCTCACAGTTAGAACAATTAATCAGTGGAATGACTTGCCCCCAGAAATTGTGAATGCTCCAACACTGGAGGATTTTAAGAAGACAACTATTTATCTGAAATGATACAAGGTTTCCTGCTTGAGTAGGAGCTTGGACTACAAGACCTCCAAGGTCCCTTCCAACTCTGTTATTCTGTTAAATATCTATTGTGCACACACATTTGGCTTTGATTGAGTTAAATATTAGTACACTTTGTTCCTGTAAGTAAAGACAAAGAGGCTAAGATTATATTTCATGCTTGAATCATTATTTTTAAAATGTCAGACAAAATTGATAATAGTTACAGAAAAAACAACTTAAGCTAATACAATGATGCTGTTCATTCAGTCCTGTCAGAGTTTTGGTGATTCAATGGAATTGGTCTCTTAACATTGTCTTTTCCAGTAAGCTTGATTATGTGACATGGCCAAAATAAGTCACATGATAAGAATTTTGTGATGTTGCCTTCCAGTGATATGTCTGGTTTTATATGTTCCAGTTGTTACTTGTTTGTAACCTTTGCTGTCCAGAAAATGCTCAGGAGCCTTGTTCAATGCTAAACTCAAACAAATTGATTTTCCTCCATGGTCCAACTTTCAGAGCCATGGGTAGAAACATGATAGTGTGGACTAATCTGCATTTAGTTGCCAGGCTGATGTCCTTGCTTTTCCATACTCAATTCATGCTCATTGTTGCTGTGATGTTTTATTTCTGGACTGCATCCCCTCCCTATTTAGATCACTCTATGATCCCAGGAAAGTAAATTCTTGCTATACATCTGATCTCTTCACTGTCAATTGTTATTTTTTATATTTTTAAAATACAAAACATTGGAAAATGAAGCTCCAGCTGGAGCTTTTATTAGAAGACAACTGAAGCTGAGAAAGTAACTGGATAATGCACAGGTACATGACTTAATTCACAAAGGAAAATGGCTGCACTGTTGTGATGAAAGAAATCATCAAACAGGTTTCCCAGTATCTGGATCAACAGACAAGGTCGGCCCACACAGATATCACAGAAATCTGAAATAATTATAAGGTGTCCCAGCAGCACACTTTTAGCTTGCATAAAAGAGGTGTGCTCTCTCATACTGCCTCTTTGTACTGATTTACATTCGGGTTGCATAACATTTTTCTGCCCAAAGGGCTGACTGTTGCTCTTCATATTCTCATACTGCACTCCAAAAAATTAAAGGATAGAGCAAAGTAAAAAAAACTAAATGTTACTTCATTTGCTTTTAAGATTAATTAAAGCAGATATTAGGTAACATGATTAGTTTCTAGCCATGTGTGTTATAACTTTCCTTTTCAATCCACTTGCAATCAACCTTTAGAAGTCCTTGGGGGCCTTGAGAGCTCAAGCTGTACACTTCTGCCTTATTCCTTTCTTCTCCCTTTGCTTATTATGATCAATCTAAGCCAGTGTTTCTCAACCTTGACAATTTTAAGGCATGTGGACTTCAACTTCCAGAATTCCACAGCCAGCATTGCTGGCTGTGGAATTCTGGGAGTT